TGAGCCCTGCCTGGACTGCAGATTCATGAGCAGAAATGACTGTTGCTGTTGTAAACAGTACCTGTGGTTATGCAGACACAGGTTCCCGGAACCCAGGCCCATAGAACACCTCTGCCTGGCACAGTGATTGGCCCAGGGATGAGCACATGGTCCCATCCATCTCTGGCATGACGTGATGGGATGCTGGAAGAGTTGCTCCCCTGCCCTGGGATCCTGGGCCTCAAGGGCTTCCCTCAGTATGCTGAAGCTGCCAGCAGCCATCTCCTCTGGGTTGACATTGGGTTTCTATCCCTTGCAGCTGACTAAAGCAGCTACTAAGCAAATGTGTGACTCACAGGCCTGAGACTCAGTTTATAATCTGTAAAATGGGGACAGCAAAGCGCTGATGATGATTACTGGAAAAGCACAGATGTCAGCAAAGGGAGTGAGGGGGCGAGGGCAGGTATGCAGCCTACGGAGCTCAGAGCAGCACCTTCCTTCCTGCTCTCTGCTGTCCCACCCCTCCTGCTAGCCCTGACTGTGGTCACACATGGACTCGCACTGTACATCTCATCCTTCCTTTGGCCCAGGTAGGAGGAGTGCTAACATGCCCATCTTGCAGGTGGGAAAACTGAGAGGCACAGAGAGCCAGAATGTCAGGCCCCAGAGGCTGGGCCTTGGGGAGAAGGTTTGAAACAAGCTGTGTTGCTAGGGGCAGACCCTTCCCCCAGGCCTCAGTTTTCCCATCTGTGAAACAGGAGCCCTCCAAGCAGCTGGCCCAGGTCAGATCTCTCCAATCTGTCCATTTGGATGGCCTTGGCCAGCCTTCTAGGCCTTGTGAGAGGCCACCCCTAGGAGGCCCAGGGAATGCCTCCGCACAAGGCGTGTGCCAGGCCCCAAGCCTGGGCCTCTGAGGTGCCCCTGAGCCATAGTCTTGGCAGGTATGGCTTGGGGAAGGTGGGGAGGAGACTGGAGCCCACAGAGGGGGAGCGGCGTACCCAAGGTCAACCAGCAGGGTGCAGAGGCAGCTAAGATAACCTGAGAGGCCACAGGGTCCGTGTTAGGCAGGGGGAGGTGGTCAGGGGAAGCTGGCAGGGAGCGGTGGGGACAGGGAGAGGGTGGAGGGGAGGCGCTCATTCTTCTGTGACTGGGGATTCACTCCGTGCTGGCTGGGCAGGTGCGTGGCATCAAAGAAGCTTAACTGGCTCATAATCACTAAGCCTCCGGATTGCCCCGAACCTGCCTACACACATCTTACTCCAGGCTTACCTAGGAACAGCTTCTGGCTGTGAAAACACACCCCTGCCTCCAGGGCAGGGGTGGGGAGCCTGCCCAAACCCTGTCATTATGACTGGGGCCTCAGGCCACAGTAATGAGGCCTTCGATGGGAAAGTTTTGCTTTTCTGAGCCTCAGTTTCCCCATCTGTAAATGAGGGGTCAGTCTATGTCATTTCTGCCGGGTAGAATTCAGAACTGTCCTGCAAATGTGTATAACCATTTCCATGTACCCCACCCTTAAAATCTTTTATTCATTTCCTGCTTTTTGATGAAAGAATGGATTCATGCTCATTGTAAAAATTCAGGCAACACAGAGAAGAGTCAAGAGGCAGGAAAAAAATGATCCACAGTTTAGCCAACCAGAGGTGGAGGAGGAACTCGGGAAGCAGTGCATCAGGGTTTGTCCCTCCTGTGCCCACTGTCCTGACTTCTGAGCAGGCCTGGCGTGCAGGAGGGACTGATCCTATGTGTTCTGTGAATCCATCACCTGCTTTCATCCACTCTGGGAAGGTGCACAGCCCGTGGGCCTGCCCCCACCCAGGTGCCTTGCTGCCCGTCTCCCAGTCATCACTGTGAACATGCGGGTGGCGGCTTGATGTCACCTGGGGTGACTCACCTGTCTCCCTCCAGAAAGCCAAGGAAAGACTCGCCTGTGCAGGCCTAAGGCCAGGGGGGCAGCCCAGCAGTCAGAGCCTGGGCCCTGACGGGGAGTGGGCTCCAGGCAGGGGCTCCGCTATGGAAGGGGACTGGCTCTTGCCTTCCTGTGGAGCAGACAGAGGACCGGTGTGTGTGAAGGATGCCAAACAGCCTGGCAGAAAACATTTTTGGGAAAATTCTCTCCCCAAATACCCAGCTCATTGGAGCTACAAGTTTAGGTTACTTTTTAAAAATAATAGCTCTTAATTAAAAAGGGTAATTAAAAAAAAAAAGAGGCAAAGTCCATGAGACTATCTTACTTCCTTGACTTTCATTTTGCATGGAACTTTCTGGATTTGTTTGGTTATGAGAGATTTTAAGGATAAAAATCTCATTTTTCTATTGAGTGGGAGCAAAAGTGCAGAACATTTAAAGAAAAACAAGCATTTTACATTTCTACAGTTATTATCCGATTTGAAGAAAACACATCAATAAACACCCCTACCCCCAAACAGGCTTATGCACTGTACCCCTCAGGCTACCATGCCCTGTGGTCCCTGTGTCCAGCAAGTCAGGCTGAGGAAGGCTCTCTGGGACAGCCAATACTCCACCTAAGCCCTGAGGGAAGAGGAGACCCTCAGGCCAGATCATAATCATCCCCTCAACATCTTTGGCAGCTTGCGTGTAAGCCCATTTTACAGAGTGGAACACTGAGACCCAGAGCTTTCAGACCCCTCCCCCTTCACCAGCCTCTCTGGTTCCTTCCTGCCAGTTCATTCATTCAACAAATGTTTGCTTGAGTATACTATGTGCTCCTAGCTGCAAAGTGAGATGGGGAGCGGGTAATGGGGTGAGGCCTGGACCACCAAATGCAGAGAGGCCAAGGCTTGGATCAGTTCCTCAGGTGTCTGCTGGGTTCTCCTTGCGTCTTCTCCAGCTGCCCACACATTTCCTCCACCAGGGGAGCCACATGTCTTCTCTGCTTCATAGGCCTTGAAGTCACATGGCACAGAACAGCTCTGTCTGGGCAGGGCATCAGGGAGGGCTCCCTGGAGGAGGCGGCTGAGGCCTGAGGGCAAGGAGATAACAGCCAGGCAGGCCAGGACTTGGAGAGCTGGGGGGAATGTGGGTGTGGCAGTAAGTCCAAATACTGGCGGGGTGGAGCATGTGTGGCCCAGTCGATGCTCTATCCTCAGTCACATCACTGTCTCCCTCACCTTGGGAGGGTGGGAGGATTTTTTTCATTCCTCAGATGAGACTATTAAGGCTCAGGCACAGGATGCCTGTCAGAACCGCCATCCCTGACATGGATGGGGGGCGAGGTGGCGGCCCAGGCAGTCTGCATCTGTGGTGGGCTGAGGGCCTTCTTCCCTCCCTGGCCTCAGTTTCCCTCCCTGCACATGGTCGGTGTTGCTGGTGCTCTCCGGGAGCACACCATTCCCCAGAAGCCCCAGAAAAGGTGGCTGGGGAGGCCTAGATCAAGGTTCACAGTGGCTGAGTTTCCTCCAGTACCAAGCGCAGTGCCTCCCACTGCTTGTGAAACGGACTCGGATACAAGTGGGCGCTCTGAGGCATGACAGGGTGTATGGTTTCCTAGAGGCCACCCCCAGGTCCCTGATAGCACAAATGGAGGCCAGCACCACCTGCTTGAACACCCAGAACATGTAACCATGCCCTAGATGGCCAAGAAAACATGCTGTCTCCCTCTTGATATGTTATGGGCTGTTACAGGCTGGACTGTGTCCTCCTCAAAATTCAAGTGATTAAGTTCTAACCCCTAGTATCTCAGAACACGATCTTGTCTTGAGACAGGGTCTTTATAGAGACAATCAAATTAAAGAGAGGTCTTTGGGTGGTCCAATGGGACTGACATCCCTATAAAAAGGGGAAATTTAACAATCTTATGGTTACCGGGGAAAGGGGGTGGGAAGGGATAAATTTGGGAGTTTGAGATTTACAAATGTTAGTCACTATACATAAAAATAAATTTTTAAAAAGTTTCTTCTGTATAGCACAGGGAACCATGTTCAATATCTTATAACAACCTTTAATGAAAAAGATATGAAAACGAATACATGAATGTATATGCATGACTGGGACATGCGCTGCACACCAGAAATTGACAGACTGTAATTGACTATACTTAAAAATAAAAGCAAATACTGAACTCTTCCAAGATAAAGAAGTGAGGTGGGATCAGACAAAGGTGTGTGAAACTGGAATGATGCTACCACAAGCCAAGGAACTGTCGGAAGCTGGGGAGAGGCCTGGAACAGACCCTTTCCAGTGCCTTCAGAGGGGGCACAGCCCTGCCAGCACCTTGATCTCAGACTTCTGGCCTCCAGAACCCTGAGACTACACATTTGTGTAGTCCTAAGGTACCCAGATACGAACATGCTTGGCTCATATAAAGGAAAATACAGTCATCATGTGTGACAAGCCTAAAATGGGAATTAGATACTATGGGGTGAAACAACTCTGACCCAGGAAAGGGGAGGGCCCTTGTGTATCATCAGCTTCTACCAACATTTAGCTTGGTCAGCATTCCTACTCTGATGATGGAAACATATGTCTATCTTGGTCACCACTACCCAGTCTAATGGGGAATAAACTCAGTGATCCACCATTAAATGAGTGCAGACCAAGATGGACCCAGGGATTCTCCGTTTTACTAGGTAGTGGAGATCAAGTTAGATCCAGGAATCCACCATTACACTAGGTAGTGGAGACCAAGATGGACATGAAGGATCCATTATTAGACCAAGATACACCCAGGAACGCTCCACTCACCTTCCCCCGGCTCTGCCAGGCTGGTCACCTGATCAGAGCCGCCCACAGATACCACCGCTGGGTCGTCGGTGTCTCACAGCTCCCTGGGCGGTTGCCTGGGCTGGGCGGGGTCCTAGGAAGAGGAAGGGGCGGGCCGCAGCGCTGAGCCTAGCTGGGGGCTGCTGCAGTGGGAACTGAGTAGGAGGCTGAGGGCAAGGAGAGGGCCGGTCTCTCCCACCGGGTGTGCTCGTGTGAGCCCCGGGCTGGATCCTGGGGGTCTGAATCCTGCCCCCACGACCCGGGGGTCCCTCACTGAGGACCTACAACATGACACTCACCACAGAGGGGCTGACTCACAGTGACACAGATGGGGTCCATACGTGCTGCTCACCGAGAACACCTGGTCTGGAGGATCCGGGCCGTCGGAGGAGCTGAGACAGAGGGCAACGCCTGCGCAAGGCCTTGGAGCGAGACTTAGCGCTCCGCGGGCTTTGCCCCCTCGGGGGTTTGGGCTCCCCTGGGGCCGGCCCCGCCCTCAGCCCTGGGAGGGCGTGTCCGGGCCGCCCGCCCCCGCTGGCCC